TTTCTTTCTTTCTTTCTTTCTTTCTTTCTTTCTTTCTTTCTTTCTTTCTTTCTTTCTTTCTTTCTTTCTTTTTTTTTTTTTCTTTTTTGCAGGACCGGGGATTGAACTCAGGCCCTTGCTCTTGCCAGGGAAGCGCTTATTCCACTGAGCCATCTCCCCAGCCCCTCACTTTCTCTCTTGCTTCCACTCATAGGTTAATTTTCCCTGGATTGGACTACTACCCAGTTTCCATCTTAGAATGCCAGCTCTAGAACACTTCAGGAAAACAACTCTTTGCATTGAAGTCATAGGTACTTATGAAGAATAAATACATGAGTAGGGCACTGTTCTAGATTCTGGTCTTATTGTGGGAAGGGCCTATAAGAAGGTACAACATGCTTAGGAATCAGAGAAGTGACTGACCTGGTATTTCCACTCGGAGGAGGGAAAGGATTTTAACTACAAATACAGGAATCCAGCAGATGGCATCAGAGAACACTATAAAAAAGAAACGGTTTGCAACATCTACTTCTTTTCCAATGTGATTCCTCACTTCTGCTGTCTGGGCAGTGGTTTTTTGAATGGAACAGAACATAGTAACATAGGAAAACACGATGATGACAAAAGCCAGCAAATTCACACCTGTTGGGAAAAAAAACCACACCTCTAAACATTTTTAGGGGAATAAATCAGCAGTAGAATATTGGAGCACTTAAATATTAAATGTGGAGCCTTTTAATCCTGGGGCTTTCAAGAAGCATTCTTTTGTATATGCCAAGTGATGGTCAAATAAAATTTCTGTGTTTGAGAAAATAAGATAAAATAATAAGTTGAGGTGTCCAGTTTAAAAACAGATTTCAAGCACCTGCCTGGCAAGCACAAGGTCCTGAGTTCAATTCCTAGTGAGAGAGAGAGAGAGAGAGAGAGAGAGAGAGAGAGAGAGACAGAGACAGAGACAGAGACAGAGAGACAGAGATTTCAAAGACACAAAGCATTTGTGAAGAATTACAGACTTACACAATTCAGATCTAGATATATCATAAAATAAGCCCTAGCTTATGTAAAGTATGAAAAAACTTTTTGATGTTTTTAGCTCTTTTCCATTTCAAACTTTAAGGGATTAGTGTAATCATAGCATGTCTCAATAAATATAACTCCTTTTCTTTATTTTATACACATGAATATAATAAGCTCAGAATTTATTATGATTATTACTGCCTCAGAAAGATTATGCTTAATGTTTTTTGTTCTTAAATGAACATAATACATGGGACAAAAATACATTTTTAAATAATCTTTTCTTTAGTGATTTAACTGCTGTGGCTCAGAATCTTTTAGACTCATTTTGAAAAAAAGAAATAAGTAAAAACAGATTCAACTGTATATAAATGAATCATTCTTCTGGAGTCAAATGTATTCATGAGATTTTAATTTAGTGTCACTATCCCTTACAAAACTACTTAGTCACCTTATCCACTTTATTTTGTTTGTAGTAAAAATTCTTTGTGCTTATCTAATTCCTTATAGTGGACACAAAATTTGCATGTATTTTCACAGTTGTTTTAAAAGTATTAATCTGAATCTATATTGTATGTGAGACTGGTAAAGTTGGAGGGTTTTTTTTTTTTTTTTTTGTATTTTAGGGAAGGGTCTACAGGGTATTCAGGGTCTCACTACTAGATCGGACTCATAGTGATCCACCTGTTTACAGCCTCCCAAGAGCTGGGATTATAGGCGTGGGCCACCATGCTCAGTTTTAATTGCCATCTCAGCTTGCCCCAGGGGCGTGTCTGGCACAACAGGCCCTGGGATCGAACACCTGGCCCCTGAGCCTGCAAGTGCTGAGCTATTTGGCCGGCCCTGGAGATGATACTTTAAATTTGAGTTTATTTTTATCAAAAGGATTTCAGGTTTCATGAAATAAGTCTCAGTATAAACTATACAATAGAATTAAATTTTCTAACAAATCTTGTATTTATTTATGTATTTGGTACAGGGTCTTACTACACAGCTCAGACTCATAGTGATCCTCCTGTCTCAGCCTCCTCCTTGTTGGGATTACAGGCATGCACCACCATATCTGGTTTTGCTGACTGACACAGTGAATCAATGACCAGAGATTGAACCTGGGTCCTTGATGCTGGCTAGGCAAGCACTTAGACCACTGAGCTATTTCCCCAGCCCTGTAATAGAATTTTATAAAATGGGTTTGTCTTAGGGCACTTGTCAGAATTTTATTAAGCAAAACATGAAATGACTCTGGTAGAAAACACTCCTCTGGCCAACATTCTAGAAACAGAAAAAGAATGAAAGGTACATATTTTAAATCTGCTATAGTAGTAAAAGGTATTAAGAGCAGGTGAAAGTGTATTATCATTACAACTTTTCTCTAAATCCAAATTATTCTAAAGTTAAACAACTAAAGGGGCCAGGGAGATGGCTCAGTGGAATAAGCGCTTCCTTGGCAAATGCAAGGGCCTGAGTTCAATCCCTGGTTAAAAAAAAAAAAAAAAAAAAAACCCTAAAAATTCTGTATTACTATATTCTTCAAACAAAAAATGTGCTTTGTCCAGAGCTCAAGAGAGAACTCTTTTAATCCCTATGGAATATACATAGGATGCTTAACCCTTTGTGGTAGACCCTACGCCTTAACTGTAAAAGTCAGCCATGCCAAACTACTTTAGTGAGTCGTCTGGCCTTGTTCCTTGGCTTTGGCCTCTGAGTGCACAATGTCATTTTCGAGGACAAAGCCCCCTCCCACAGCTCCCCTTCCTCATCTTTTCAGCCTCAGTTTGTGTACATTTCTACTGCGAATCCTGTCCTAGTCCCAAGGTCTGGGGCTCCTGGAACATCTCTGACATGTTTCATCTGTGATATCAGAGTATGTTTATTTCTCTGCACCTTTTGCTCTGGTCTTTAAGTATGTGGTGGCTGGATCTGTTTTATCTTCTGTGTCCAATACAGTGCACAGCCTTGGCAGGTGCTAAATCAATCCTGGGAGACTCAGCGAATGTAATGTTAATATGAGGGGGAACATGTGTGTGTGTGTGTGTAGTGCCTCTGTGCTAGAAGCAATGAAGAAATTAGTATGAAGAAACACAAAGAACACCTACACTATTCTATGGGTGACAATTCCTCTGAATAAGTAGATACCAACAGAGCAATATGCAATGAGTATTTTCAGAATGGTGCAAATGAAGTGGTCAGATTTTCAGAGAATGAAGAGGAGTAAACAAAGAAAATCTAATAGCAACGGTTGAGACATGTCATGTGAGTTTCAGGTGAATCATTTACACTTGACCTTGAAAGTAACAAAGAAGGTATTGAAGGTCTCTGGGGAGGGTGTTAAACAGATAAATAGGAAGAAAGGAAGACCCAAAGACCAAAAGACTAGAATGGGTTAAGTCAGGACTAAGTGGAGGCTGTAAGGTTTCAAATGACAGCAATAGAAGAGGGTAACAATAGAAGAGGGTAAAACTATTATGGACTACTGGACTATATTGGATTATTTTGCTGAATTAATGCACCTACAATATTTAAATGACAAAGGAATATCCTTCTCTGACAAAACTGAAGAAGGGGATATAAATGAAGGACCATTTTGTATCTGTATATTCAAAATAGGATAGATATACAGCTACTTTCTTTTAAATTAATGAATAGAAAGATTTGTTCTAATAGTGTTTGTGGACAGGATGTCATATCTGCATCTTGTACAATGAATAACCACTAAGACAACAATATGCAATGTATTAATTATTGAAACTATCCTCCTAATAGGTTCTGAAACTGTCTCATTGCTATTTGTTTCTCAATAAAATTATTTAAGTTTTTTTTGCTTGTTTTGCCGGAACCAGGGATTGAACTCAGGCCCTTGTTCCTGCCGGGGAAGCGCTTATTCTACTGAGCCATCTCCCCGGGCCCCTCAATAAAATTATTCAGAAAAAAAAAAAAAGAAGAGGGTAAAGATGAGAAGGAAGCTAGGTAGATGCATATCTTGATGAAAAGTATCTGATGTAAAGGAAAGGGCCATCGATTGTGATCTGTGGCTGTGATGAGGGTGACTATGCAGATAAGAGAAAAGGAAGGGAAGGGGGGACAAAATGGTAATATTCCATAGTTAAAGAAAGGACAGAGGAACAATCTTAATTTGAAGTGGAATTAATGCATGTTACACAATAGAAAAAATTTAACTTTAAGGTACTAAATGTGTCATTGATTTGTGACTGAAAGTATATAATTTTCTTTTCCAAAAAAATAGGGTGAATTAAGAAAACTGAAGAGGAAATCTTCTTATTAAGGATCCTTACATTACTGACTTAAGAGAGCTGCCTTTAAGGCAACAAATTTTCCTGGTATTTCCATTCAGATAATCTGCTACTGAGTTTTCAGAAGTTTAGTATTTATTTGATTTATAACTGAATTATAAGAAAGGAGTTTAAGTAACTTGATAGAGTTTCAGGATTGGCACTATACTAGAATTTTTTTTTTTCAACGCATAGTTACTATACAGGAATATGAAATCAAAGGAATCTGGAAATTTATTTTTTTTTAAAAAGATCATCCAGTCCTTGTTTTCCAAACTAAAGCCCTACAATATAAAGCTTAATAAAACTTCATAAGTATATAGCAATAACATTTTTTCTACAATTGACACTTAGTCTGGACAATATTCACTTACTTCTAAAATGGACAAATCTACCTTTGCCAAAGCTTATGACATTTGTTTCAAAATGATATTGATGCAGGAAATGAAAAATATAATTTACCTAGGAAAATTCCAAGAGAATATACTTGGCTTCCAACAGCTTCTGTGTGGTCATAGTAAAGTGGGAAACATACTCCATTTTTCCCATAAAAGTTTCCAAAGTAATCCTCATTCCAAAAGGGAATTACAGCAATCAAAAATCCCGTCACCCAGATGCAGATGAGACTGACCAAGGTCTGCCGCTTTCCAGGTCGGATGTTGCTGAATGGGAAGACGATGACCAGGAACTTTTCCAGAGTTAAGAAGGTCAGCAATAGGACAGAGACTTCGCTGGACAGCATGGCCAGAAAGCCCAGGAGATGGCACTGTGGGCTTTCCATCCACAGCAGGGCGTACTTCTGATACTGCCCACGGTATTTCATATCGAAGAAGCCCACGAAGAACAAATAAATACCCATCAGGCAGTCAGCACCTGTAAGGAATTGATGCAGTATCTGTTGGTAGTGAGGCATCCTTTGTTTTAGTTTTTCTGATTAGGTTTAGCTCCTTCATCCAAATAAACTAATGTGACTGCCTACTTGAGTACCAAGAATCTAGGGGACTTCAAAATCCATGCTAGAGTACCACACTATGCTTTGATTTAATAGTCTAAAGAGAGAGAGAGAGAGGGAGAACTTTTCTTTGGGGAGGAGATAGTTAAAACAGTAAACATGAATTACTTGCATAATTAATAAAAGGAATCCTTTACTGAGATGGAGAAGCGTAGGTGCTAGTAATCGAAGCTAATCAAGCTTAGGGAATAACCTACAACACGTGCTCCATAATTTGTTGTTTGACTCATCATTCTGTTCCCTATTTTCAAGCCATGATCCCCAGGGTATTTCACTATGAGATTATATGGTCTAAAATGTAGCTACCGAAAATAACACATTAACACTTTAAAAATAAATTCTCCCAATGTACATAATTCATATTAAATGGAATTTGAAGATATATATATATATATATCCACACAATCATATGTATTTATATCTATACATTTAATGCATAGTTCAGAGAAGCTATCCTGTCCATTTATGTAGGAAACATACTTACAACAAAGGATTATGATGGACATAGCGTGAGTTGTATTTTCAGCTTTAATGAAAGATCTCATGCCAATGACAAAAAGATTTCCAAAGCAGGTAATGAAAGCTATAACCCAGACAAATATTCTGAGGATATTGTTAGCCAAGAGGTCCTCAAATGAAGAAATGCCGTCAGACAAGGGCATACATAGTCGCACATGGGGAGCATAGGAGCAGTAGCGAAAGTTTTTGAAATAACTAAAGTAAAAGGGAAAAAAAGAGTCACTTTACAGTAATGACAGTGAAACCTCAGCTGCTGTCCCCTCAGCGCTGCAACGCTGTTAGGTTAGCAACTTTGCTAGGCTTGCTGATTTGTTTTTGCTTAGTAGTGACTGTGCAACTCAAGAGTTCTTCATTAAATCATGTTACTTGCTAGGCAGTGTCCTTTGAATGAGCAGGAACACTGGGGCCCACAGAAATGCAGAGACGGCTGGCTGTCTAAGCAGCTTGGGGAAGGCATGGGAATGTGCAGTCTTGGAGGCTCTGCCTTTCTCCCAGTCTTACCACGTGACTGTCTCATTGGGTGCTACACAGTAGACTGTGGTTGGTGAACTGATCTCTAGCCAACATCCAGGGCTTGCACTTGGGATGTGAGGGATCTTCTGTGGCTCACTACAAGCTTTCCTGGTTCCTCCTTAGCTTTGCACAGTAAGGCCTATGTAAAGTAGCCATTCTCCCCTGGTATTGTCAGGGCTCTGAGATTAAGAAAATTCAGTCTCAGTGGGGCTAGAAGAAACCTGAAACACATATTTCTCACCAAGGTTGGGGAGGACTTGCCTATAGCAATATATTTAAAGTGTTCATGAACCAACATGATGAGTCTTGATTTAGGAATTGGTGAGGTCATTTGGATTATGATACTCCCCCCAAACTGTAGGATTTTATTCCATGAACACATTGTATTTTTATTGCTATTGTTATTATTATTATTATTATTATTATTTATTTATTTATTTTTGCAGAACCAGGGATTGAACTCAGGCCCTTGCACTTGCCAGGCAAGTGCTTATTCTACTGAGCCATCTCCCTCGCCCCTATATTTTTATTCTTTTACCACCTTTCACCCCATTTATCTACTCTTTTCTCCCAGTCAAATCCATTTTTTTTTTTGCCATCTCCTAATTCAACTTCTGCAAAAGCAAGTTAAACAACACTTTACTTTGACAACACCAGGGCTCCTGCAACTGGACTCCTGGCTGCCCTGAGCTGCTTTGCTTCCTTCAAAACAGACACAATAGGTTTGCTCTAATCTTCCAAGAGCCTGGCTCTCTATAGGAGTTTGCTTTTCTCTCTGGGGGAAGGCTCTTCCCCTGGATATTGGAAGGCCTGCTTCCTCCCTTTGTGCAGGTCTGCTCAGATGTCACGTTACTCTGACTTCTATTTAAACCACCCCAATCCTACTTCTATCACTGTGTTTTGTTTCTTTTATACTCATTGCATTTAATAACTATTTACTTATCTGTTTATTTACTCCATTTCCAAAGCTAAATGAAAGATCCACAGGAAAAACATCCATTCTCTTGTTGGTCATGGTGTTCCTAGCATCTAGTATAGCACCTGACACCTGCTGGGGACTCAAAAAATATTTCTTTGTTCAGCAGATGGACGATGTATAACTGAGTGTTGGCTGTGTCCAATAGAGGAACAGGAGGCAACTCCTGCTCTTACACAGTTTAACATCTGCCTGCTACTAAGAGAACTTGATCTCTCACTTTGTTTTCTTTTTCTTCCCTGAAGTCCCTAGCAGATACTGGACTTGACCTCTTGGTTCTTTTAGGATTCCATCATGTCCCCTGTCTTCAGACAGAGACATCTAGGGTCTCCACCAGTGGCCAGTTGGCAGGTGAAAGGAATGCGGATGATGAGGGGAGGTATTTCGTTAAGTAAAGGACAAAGACAATTTAAAGAAAAAGGTCACTTAATACGAAATTAGCTAGATGAGTATGTTTTCTGGTGCATGTTGGATTCTGCCTGTCTGTGACTTCAGGTTTAATCATTAAAACAGCAATGTCTCCACCAAGTTTTAAAAAGATTGAACTTTTCTATTCTAAAAAGACTTTACCTTCTGCCTGCAACAGGAAATGATAGCTTCATTAGGTATTTATCTAAGAGCACCACAGAAAGTGCAACAAACAAAACCTTGTGTATATGTACCAAACACTTGTGTTGTAGTCATGACACCTACTACACAGACGTAAACAAAATGATCTCCCCCAAAGCCACCTTCATACCAATACTTTCAGCCCCTTGCTGCACCCGACTTTTCATCTTACATCCAGTCCTCCCTATTTTTGTGGACAACAATGGTTAATTTTTGAAATCAAGAACATAGATCATACAGTTGATAAAGAAATGATGTTATAGACATATATTAATACAACTTACACAGTGCACTGTAACCAAATATATTAAAGTGACTTAACAAAAACTACTATAAAGATTAATTACCTCCATTTTGTAGTGCACTTAGTAACAGTAACAACACCTGGAATTTATATAGCACCTTTCTTCCTAAGGGCTCAAATCTTAGAGCAACCGACTGCTCATTCATGTGAGGTGAATTAATGTTTCCAGGTCGCCTGAGTACGAGTTAGCCAGCGACTTCATCTTGTGTAATATGTGGCATTCTGGTACCCTGATCTCTGATTGGGCCTCAATTGGATAAACAGCATTTTTCCAGAGAGAAGGGTCATTCATGTCGGCACATCATAATATTGAACTCTATTTGGACCAAAGGTGACAAAATTAAAAAGTTCTCAATAAAAAACTTTTCTTGCATAAAAACACAATTCAGTGATACATCAAACAGTTGACATGAGAATATCTGAAACATTTCACTATACTTTCTTCTTTATTATTTCATACATACATACATGTGAGACAGGTTCTTCATGGGTCGAAACATTTCTATACTTATATTTGGAATCTCTATCTTTTCCAGGTCTCTAGAAAATAGACACAATATGTTTGCTGTTGTAAGGGTAATACTTTGTAATAATTACATTATTTGTCATGTCCTAAAAAGAATGCTTCAAAATTTTGTTACTAATTGAAATTACAATAAAAAATTTATAATCAGGAAATTACTACTCCTGGGCTGGCCAAATAGCTCAATGAACTAAAATGCCTGCTTAGACAGGTGCGAGGACCAGGGTTCAATCCCTGGCATGCTGTGCTGGCCCCGCCCTTTGGGACATGCTGAGATGGCAACTGAGACTGGGCGTGGTGGCATGCACCTATGATCCCAGTACTTGGGAGGCTGAAAAACAGGGGATCACTATGAGTCCGATCTGTGGATCTGTGTAGTGAGACCCTGTAGTCTCTGTACTAAAATACATTAAAAAAAAGAAGAAAAGAAAATTACTATTCCTTCTTATAGCTCCTATATATTGGAGATAGTTTTGTCATTTCATATGCAGAATTGCATCTTTTTTTTTTTCCAGTACCAGGGATTGAACTCAGAACCTTGTGCTTGCCAGGCAAGCACTTATTCTACTGAGCTATCTCCCTGGCCTGCAGAATTATATCTTAAAGCATACTTTTATTCATTTCTTTGATTTAAATATCCAAAGACTGGGAGTGTAGCTCAGTGGTGGACTGCTCACTTAGGATGTGTGAGAACTGGGTTTAATCCCCAGGGCCACAAAAATATATAAATTAAAAAATGGCCTTGGTGTCTTATATGGATATGAATTTGTCCCATTGCTTGATAAAAAACCAAAACAAAACAAAAAACAAACAAAAGCCAGTGCTATATAAGTTAAAAGGTTTCATTTAGGAGCTGATACGTCTACCTGAGAGCATCACCAAAGTTTAAATCAGAATTTAAATATTCATTTCTTCCTGGCCTCTGTGTTTTCAGGGTGGAAAATCAGGGAGGTAGAAGAGGGCAATCTGTTTCTAAGGGGAAGCATAATTCTTGTAATTCCTCCAGGCCTCATGAGACATCCTAAAGGGTCTTAGCGATCACCCCTGGACTCTTAAATTATCTTGATGCTGTACAGATATGGGTATTTGGAAAACCTCTTCAGGTTGCTGCAAGTTGGGAGCCCCCATATTCTCAGAAAATGGCCAGGAGGAGGACAATCTAAAACAATGGAAATACTGTGCTTTTGAAGCTTAGCTAAAAGCATTTCTGCTTTTTACTCAGTTTCTTTTTTTGGCTGATCTGAATATGGATCTAATCAATATTGCTGTGCATTTTCCTTGCCCATTTTGTCCTTTGTAGAGGAATCCCCTCGCTGTCTGCAACCAGAAGTAGATTTTAGGAAACTCTTATATTATGATCATGATATAGCCCATCAAAACAAAAACAAAAACAAAACAAAAATCCTGAGTTCTTTTATTCTAAGGCTCATACTGCCTCTTTCTTTTGCTCTCTAGCTTTTCCTTGCCACAATTTTAGTTTTACATCGACTGTATGGTTAGATGATCAGTACCTTGTAATACCTAAAGAGCAGAAGACGTTATGTCTCAAGTAAGGAAGTATAACACATAAGTTGGTGTTGAATAAGTGTCTATGAAATAAATGTAAAAATGAATCATAGAAAAGAGAAATGAGAAAATAAAGAGGGCAAAGAATGAAGAAAGAAAGACATGGAATAACTCATCATTCCTTTGACTTTCAGAAAGGTAGTATGTAGAGAGTGAAGAAAGAATCAATTCTCTACATCCTGAGGGTTGTCCTTGTATTTAAAAATAATGATTTATTTATAGATTTTGGTCTTTTTTGCTTCGTGAAAACAGAAACCAAGTCTTTTTCAATCTGTAGATGCTCAGTAGTATCAGTTGAAGGAGAACTTAATCTTGCATTAATTTCTAAAAGAAATCTACTTAAGAACAAAAAGTGATGTTACAGATTGGTATTTGAAATGATACGAAGAAATGCTTAGGCCAGGGTAAAGTAGTACAGTGTGCTCTCTGTGTAAAACATACCAAGTGTAGCCAACAATTGGTTACTTGAGGGAAAGTAGCCATGAAGTCCAAAGAACGGATGGCAAAGTTCTTAACAACACTGAAACCCAAGATGATTCAAATTTTAAGATGCTACACAATAGTGACTGTCTGACTATTCATATTTGTGGGATTTTTAAAAAAAGTGTGAAAAGCAAAACTTATATACTCTAGACTAATACCAGTAGTATTTCATAGGTTAGGGGAAAAAGGAGAGGGGGTAAAATCCAGGCCTTCTATAATTTGTTTTACTAAAATGAAAGAAAATTGTCACAATTTAATTCCTTATGAAAAGTGTAGGATGAAATTTTTCCATATACAGTTTTCAGGAGGGAAATATATACCACCTCAAATGAAGAGATGGCCTTTATACAATTTAATACTAAAAAATGAGGCTTCATCTTCATTGAGCATGTAATTGATGATAACAATGATACAATCAACTGAGGATGCATACTCTTGTATGGAAATACTCATTTGAAAATACCTATGTCTCTAAGTAGAATACATTAGTTGCAATTGTAATTGATGAACGTATGATAATACTTTACTTACAGAGACTGAAGTTGCTTAAGACTTCCAAACTGGTTCTTGTGAAGGTATAAAAGAGGATTGGATGACAGGTTCCTTTTTTATCATTAAAGGAAGGGGGAAAGAAGTACAGATATTACCATTTTGGGAGCCTAAGATGTCATTGAAATCTGATGATTATGAGATGGACTTACAATTTTTGTAGAAGCTTTAGGTCTTTAAAAAGGTGGGGTGGCAGCTCCATTATCATATTGCTAGACAGATCCCTGTTGATGACAGTAAAAAACCAAAGCAATTACTCTGGAAATAAGTGATATGATTATTACCCCTCATAATTATTGTCACTCATATGATGAAAGAGAAAGTGTGAATCCAATGTAACCAACTTGATAATTTGTTATACAACAAGACCATATATATCAGCTGAATGGATGTTTTCCATCAATTACAGACATATGATACTTTGCTCATCCAATTCCTACCTGGAATTTCCTCTTATCCCCTCTGCAACACATTCTGACTGTAGTATCTGCTTTGATTGATTTTTCTCTGTTCTAGGTAGTCTTTGTAATTTCTATCATCCATACTTTTGTGTTTCCTATTTGCTTCATATATGTGATCTCGTTTATTCAACTGTTTTCATGGTCAGGTCTTCTATTTTGCATTCCACCTAAGGTAGTAGCATTGGTCACTCAGTATCTGTCTTGACAATCTTGAATGGATATGACTAGGCATTTTTAATACATTCTTGGTTAAGAGTATTTTTTACATACACAATTGAGAGTTTAAAATTAAATATAATAGTGTTGTCTAGAAAGAATCATAGGGAAGTGACTCTGTACAATGTGGAAAGAGATCTATTTGGATCAGAAGGAATCTCTAATTTTTATGAGTCCAAGATATCTTTATGATCCAGAGAAAGATATAAGTAGATGTATAATTGTGTAATTAGGAGTGAACAAAAAACTCAACTTGATACATTAGAGGTGTTGAGAGAAATGTGAGAGTTAGAAATCCCTAAGATTTAGAGCTTCTCCAAAGAAGCTTTCATTCAGACTAATGCCTGGTGTTGTGGTTTGGATGTAGTTTATCCCTCTGCAGTTTACATGTTGAGAGATTGGTTTCCAGAGATTAGGTGATGGAACTTTACAGAGGTAAGGCTTAGTGGGAGTTGATTAAGGTATTGGGAATGCTGTCTTCAGAAGAGATTATGGTGAGACTCCAGGTAGTTCTCACAAGAGTCAACTGTTACATAAAACCTAGCCTGACCCTTGAACTCTTGGTTTCTTGGTCTTGGACCTTCAGCAGTCCAAACCATGAACTACATAGCACTCTTTTCTTCATAAAATACCCTGTCATAGATATTTTGGTATAGCAACAGAAAATGGACCAATACAGCCAGATTAGAAAACAAATAAATATGAAAAAAATTCTATTACGAGAGTACAGACAAAAGACAGAGGGGGAAGGCATCAATCATGTCTTGAGAAATCAGGAAGTGTTTGAACAGAGCTTGATGATATTAGGTGGCATAAAAGCAAGATAGATTTTGAGGTGAGGGTTAAGTGTGATGAGAGAAACAGATTGAATGGAATTGAAAAATATCTTTAGGAGTCAACAAATGGTCCAACAGGGACAGAGAAGAAAAAGTATAGGGGAAAAGTAGGGAAAGAGAGCCTGGAAATGAAGACAGGATGAAGGGCCACGATATACCCCACGGTAATATCCCTAGGGTAGAGCCTAGGCATCAGAATTACTGAGGATGTTCGTAGAATGACCACATTCCAGGGCCAGTCCAGAACTACAACATCAAAGTCTCAGGGAAGAAGCCTGGCAACATGCATTTAAACCAATGTTCACTTGCACATTGACATTTGAGAACCAGGCAAGCACTTTGCTAAACAGCAGGGAACACAGAGTGAGAACATTAAAGAGGACAGTGCCATATGCTCTGCTTTGTGGGTGACTGTATCAGAAACATGAAAGGGTCAAAAAGCGAGAGAGTCAGAGGAGGGAGATCAGGCAGGAAGCTTCCATAGGGGCTGAGGGAAAGCTGATGAAGGTTTGACAGGGACACGCACAGAGTTTAAGATTGAGAGAACTTAAGGTGTTTAGAGTGAGGCACAGAAGGGAGAAGTCTTTAAGGCTGGCTTCTGGGAAGGACACTGACACCACTATAATGGAAGGTTCAGGGAAAGGACTTGTCAGTGGCTTCAGATGCACTATGAATTTATTTTTAAGAAGATGGCTTTGGAAATGCTGTCATAACTTCCACACCTCAAGTCCTGATATATGGAAATTTGTATCAGGTGCTCCAGATGGGCATAGCATACCTGGATCATGGCCCAGAAAGAGGCCACAGGTGTACATGGTCAGACAGAGCAGAACAAAAGGCTAAGAAACTGGTGACTGGAAAATTTTCCTTTAAAGTGCTACACAGAGAAATAAAGTACATTCTCTTGGGAGAAAGAATGTTGGGGCCTCAGGTGCTTTTGCTTATTCCACTCAGGATGAATCCGATGTTATAATGGTACAGTAAAATCACCCAATGCTTGTCTGCTCAAGTTGTATAAATTCTTTGTTCAGGATGTGTCTATCAACTATTGAATTTCTTGTAGCTCCCTGAGGGTAAGTGAATTGGGATAAGTTATGGGTGTCTCTAAAAACAGTAGCTAGTGTCTCTTAAGCAGGATCACAGTTTCCACTTTTGGGGTGGGTTCTACCTCCATGTAGGATGAGAAGAGCATTAGGAAATTTTTCAGAATTCCTAATCATAACACTAGGTCATGAAATTGTATATCAAACAGGGTCTTCTCTGACTTGGATGCTGACCTACCCCATCCTGAAACCCAAGCCATGTTCCTTCTCTAGACCTAGGCAGGAAACTTGCAGGAAATCTCTTCTAAATGAGCTGCTTTTAATTTTTTCCTATAAAATGTCAATATTTTTAGTTCAAGGACAGGACTTTGCATATACTTGGTATTTAATAAATATTTGTGGATTTACTTTGTAACGTTTATTAAATTCAATTATCGGAATTATTCATGGTTTAGTTTCTTTTATTATTTGTGTGTGTGTGTGTGTGTGTGTGTGTGGCCAGCTCAGCCCACCAGGGGGTGGGGCTGGCTGGCATGTGGTGCTGGGAGATTGAACCATGGTCCCTGTGCTTTGCCAAGCTTGTTCCAAATAGGTGCTTTAGACCACTGAGCCATCTCACCAGCCCCTCATGGTTTAGTTTTAAAGATAATTTAGTTATAATCCTTAGCCCTTCATGAATTACAAACCAACATATGAAGAATAGGAGGAAAGGTTATGACATTAATTTCCATTTTAAGGCCTCAGTCCAGAGGATGAACTTTCTATCCTAATTGCCACAATTTGTAATATAACATAGTTAATTTCAACTTCCAGTGAAACACAATTATGGGAGAGAAAATTAATTAATTGCAAAACAAATGTATCTAAAAAGGACTAGACCCACAAAACATGTATTTGAACAGAAAATATTACCTCAATGCCCTGAGTATTTTTGTATGATTTTAACTCTCAATCTAGGCACAGTTATGTCCTTTCCCTTCTACAGCAGTCATAATTCCTCAATAAGTAATCAGAATTTTCATTCCTTTGTTCCATTTTAATTAATGTCATTTCAGTCCATCTGTTATTCACTCAGCAAATACTTTTTGAGAGTTAACTATACTCTAGGCATAAGAGATAAAGGATCTCTAGTATTAAATGATCTATATTTAAGAAGTTGTTGAACATTTATGTACTCCCAAATGCACACATCTATGAAATCAATAAAAGAAAATAGGTAAAGGAACTAGGGTAGGATAATTCTGTTTTAAACCCACTATCTGATTTCAGTTTGCTTTCTTTTGGCTTTAGGACAATGTTGGTTTTCTCAGTCAATTTTTAATATCCAGTAGTCTATAGGATTTTTGATTGCTACTAGTGGAAGAGCACTCTCACTAGTATCTCAATTTATAATCTTGGAAGAAGCAATCATATTCTTCCTAGTAGATGATACTACTTACAGTTCTCCTAAATTTTTTAATGAAGAAAATGTCTTCTCTGGAACAAAATCAATTTGATTTCTAGGCAGAAACCTGTAAGACATGGCGAGAGTCAGCACAGTGGGTTTGTGTCTGCTGCTGCAATCTGTCCTCCCTGGGAGAGCCACTGATTAAGTGTCACTAAATCAGCCTCCTCCTCGGAGGTCTCGAAGGGAGGTGCCTATGGTGTGGAAGCTGAGGGGAGAGCTTCTCACCAAGGGCAGTAGTGGCGGTTCTGAGAACTGCTGCTGGAAGCAGTCCGAGGCTTTGAGTGCGGCCCATGAATCTGCACTTGCTTGGACTCCGGTTATCACAGAAAGTGCCTCTTTCCAATTTTTCTGTTCCATTCTTTTTTTCCAACAACTCATTCAATCAACAAACTTTACTAAGTGCTGACTATCTATGGACAACTACAATTTAAACAAACACTTGTGCTTTTTGACTTACTCGTGCAGATGTGCCAATTAACTAATCTGTTTTTGCCTTCCTGCCCCCAGAAAAAGTATGATTAGCAACCAGAATTACCAATCTGAATCTCTGGCCAACCAGAAAACACTAGCCTTTTTTCCTCCCTACCTTTAGGGAGAAAAGCATCAAGTGGCAAGTCATTGGTAGTGCCACCTAATGAGTCTATAGCTAACCACTTTCATATACACGGTCACATTTCACTGGTAGCCATGGGAGAAGACAGGAGCTCCCAGGCAACCAGTTCAGCTGAGGGCATGAACAGAAATGATGACAAAGAGCCAGCTGGAGACCTGAGTCATAAGGCAGCCTAATGAAGGCTTACCTGATCTATCTATACTGATAGATTATTGTGTACCCTTTCCAAGTATTGCAGTTTCAGACAGAGGCTGTAAACAAAACACTACTTTAAAATTCATTGTCAGGGTTTTCTTTGAATTCTTGAGTCTATAGGGTTTCCTCTCACTTACTGATGTCCCTTGTGTACTTACAGCACTGTGAGTGACTCGCATGACAGAAAGGTGGAATTTGTAAGATGCTTTATTCGATTGGCTTCCAGATCCCTGAAAATTATGGAGGGAAAATGTTTTTAATATTTTTGCACAAATCACATGCCTGCAAATACGTTTTGTTTTTATACTAGCTCTGAACCTTAGTTTTACTTCATTTCAATTTTTACTATGCTTTCCTTCTAGTGATTGTAGGGTTAGTATAGTTATGTTCCTTATCTCATTCTTTCTTCTTTCTTTCTTTCTTTCTTTCTTTCTTTCTTTCTTTCTTTCTTCTTTCTTTCTTTCTTTCTTTCTTTCTTTCTTTCTTTCTTTCTTTCTTTCTTTCTGGTGGCATCGGGGATTGAACTCAGGCCCTTGCGCTTGCCAGGGAAGCACTTATTCCACTGAGCCATCTCCCTAGCCCCCTGATCCCTTTCTAATTAATATCAGAACTCCGTAAAATTGAAGCAAAAGGAAACCTAAGCAAACTACACATGGCAAATGTTCTTCTGTGCTGGACACCATGCTATTTCCTTATGCTATTGCCCAGCCATCATAAATCTATTAGGTTTTGCCAGTGCTCAATACTCTTAGGCATGTCTGATATCATCATGCTGCACGGTAGGTATTATTAGTCTATACTTAAATATGAGGCATCCCAGGCTCTTGGGGATTCGCTTTTCTGGTTGCAGAGCTAGTGGGTATGAGAAATGGCCTTCTAAATTATATTTATCTGAATGTAAAGTGGAGAGCATTTGACAGTTTCTGTGGTACCCTGATAGCCTTGCATTCTTCCCAACGTGAAGTAGATATTTTGGTACCTGTTTTCCTGAAGGAAAAGTTCAGGCTCAAGTCATTACCTATATGCTGGACATCAGAACCCAGATAGAAACTCCAATTATGTAATGCCAAAATACTGCTTCTTTCCACTTTGCCTAAATGACAGTAAAGTCCACTATGACACAACTCAGAGTGTATGGGGCTGCATCCCCAGCACCCAGCTGGGACCTTGCTAGAAATACAGATTCTCAACTCTGCCTTAGGCCTACTGAATGAAGAACTCTAGGACCAAGGTCTAGCCACCTATGCTGCTGTAGCAAGTCCTCCTGCTGATACAGCATATGCTAATGTCTGAAATACACAGGTAGGGAGACTTCATTCTGTCTCCTGATGCCTGGTACACAGTGGTAGCTCACATGCTCCCAGGGTTCCAGGGCGGGCACAGAATGCTGTACCTGGGATCAAACTCAAGTACTTGAGCTTGCCAAGCAGGTGTTTAGACTGCCAAGCTATCTCCTTAGCCCTTTTAGATACAATCTTGTGGCAGCCTTGATACTTTGAGTAGATTATGATTGTTTTGACCCTATGAAAGAGCTAGAAGTTGCACAGTAGCAGGAGTGAATAAGGTGGATAAATACACATGACAGTGTTTTATGAGACCGTTTTTCTGTCGGGTAGTACTCAGCAACATGCACCATACTTTAGATCATTGCTTATAGATACAAAAGAGGACTTCCAGAGGCGCCTTGGAGAGTAGCAGGAATGATGGCGTATGTGTATCAAAAATAAGGAAGAGCATTCTGAGGTGGATTAATAGCAATGTGTCCTTTACTATAGTACATTTTTAAAATGTAGACATTCACTGCATGTTTTTATCACACCTCACATGTGGCAGAGGAGGGTGGGTTGTGATAGCAAAGCCAGGATACAGCTTGAATGTTTGGGCCAGGGATATAGTTTGGTGGTGCAAGCACCTGCCTGGCAAGTACAAGGTCCCGGGTTCAATTTCCAATATAAAGAACAACCTGAATGTTCTAAATAAGTAATAGTCAACAGCTAACAAGAAATAGAATTGCTTTGGTATATATTCATCTATCAAAAGTTTATTAAGCCCTTACTATGTCATTCTGTAAGTATTGGGGTATTGAAATCATTTTATTAGTTTCTATAACCAAAGAATTTGTAGATGACATATGTAGGGGATAGAGAAATAAAGTATTGATGGGTCTCCTGAGATAGGTGGGCGATGTAGAAAATGGAGGCATGGTAGTTTTATAGGGGGTACAGCGACAGTACAAAGGCAGCCACCGAAGCTGGTCAGTATCAGCAGGAGCTTCCTGGAATAAAGTTTGAGTTGATTTTGGAAGGAAATGCTGGAGTTAGTCCAGTGAATAAGGGAGAAGTCTTCTTAAGTTCAAGGATCAGTATGTGCTGATTGGGCTGACCTTAGGAGAGTATTTTGCTACATCTGGCAGAAGAGATGTGAAGGGGAGGGGCAGCAAAAGAAATCGTTGGGGCAACGGGTGGAAAGTGAGTGGTTTTGGGTGCTGAGGGTGAAAGTGGAACATTACCCTCTCTCCTTTGGAACTCCTCAGAGGATTTTTAAGCTGGGAAGTAAAATGACTAGATTTTTGGTTTTACAAAGCAATCCATGATGGACTTTCAAGGTAATCGTAAAGGAACTTCGCGACTAGTTTTCTTAATCCACAAAACCCAAGTTAGATCCTAAATGAGTACTCACATCCAGCTGAGTTGAGGCATTTGGCCACAAATCTGCTGGGGGAGGGCCTCTAAGGAGTTATTAACCATGGACCTTTATAAAAGAAAATAATAATTAGGAGCAAAATAACATGCCACCATAGGAATCATAGTTTTATCATATCACAATTTAGAAGCTTGCGTGTTAAAATTAATGTGGAAAGATGAAGTTTATATAGATACACTATACCTTCAAAAAGGTATTTAAATATGTGTAAGGCAAGAACTAGGGAGCAGAAGTCAAAGAAACTATAAACATATAATATATATATATACATTCTAGAAATAAATACTAGACAGCTTAACTTTATGAGATAAACAGAAGTATATATCAAGTAATAATTTTGAAGTTCATGGTAATTTTTCTTGTATACTTTCAGTTTGCAATTATTTCTGGTGCCATACATCCAAAGTTCTTCTTATGAGAAACATTAATCATTTCTAACATTAAAGGGCCATATTGGAAACCACATTAAATCTACGAAGTGACAGAAGGGGGAATTTGGGAAAAGAAAACAACTCATGAGCATGCTAGGCAGCATGATTAATTTATGATACTGAGGTCCCTTTCAACAAATGGAAAAATAATGATGCTGCATAATCAACTGTAAAGGAACATAATAATCCCCTGCTGATAAATCACTCTAGTATATTAATAAACAGTGAAAATGTAATTATGAGAAGAGCTCTGTTGGTAAGACAAAGATTTTGGAATTTTCAGTGACTGCTGATGGGCAAAAGCAGTTTTCTTTGTTAAAAATGGAGTTGAAACTGAGCTCCTGGGAGATTTAAATATAGTTAAGATAGAAAAATGAACACAATATAAAATGATTCTAGGTTAACCACTGCGAATAAAATCATGTCCCGGGACTTTAGTAAATTAGAGGGGTTAAAAAAAATCCACTTCTAGGCTTAAAGTACACATTTATACATAATCTGGCCAACTGCTCCCTCGCCATGGCCAGGAAGTAGTGATAGTAACTATTGCTGGAAACACAAGAAATGACTAAGAAAGGTTTTCTGGGGTTTGATATGTTTTTGAAGCTTTTCCTGTATACTAGTGTTAGATGTCATTGCAATTCGTAGACAGATGTATTGAAAGGTAGATGAATACTTACAGGAAAAACAAAGAATTTAATCCAGTAAACAATTGCTGTGAAATCCTGGTTATTGGATTGTCATCTAGAATTCTGACAAAACATTTCCAGTGTTAGAGATGTTTCTGAAATAACACCAGGAAAAAGTGAAAGGCCTAAGCCTATCTGTGTCCTCTAACACCTGACCAGGTCCTTCCTTCATTTCTTTCCTTATTTGGCAAGTTGTCTCCTTCCTGAAAGTTTTTTCCTTCACCTGTGGTCAGATCATTGATTTCCTCCAGATTTCTGCTATTTGCACCGATGTGGTTCTTGACTGATTGGTGGTGGTGGTCATGGTGGTAGTGGAGGTGAAGTAAGAGAAGGTGAGGACTTAAGAGGAGGAGGAGGAGGAGAATTCAGATCTCTCTCTCTCTCTCTCTCTCTCTCTCTCTCTCTCTCTCTCTCTCTCTCTCTCTCTGTCTGTCTCTTTCTCTGTCTCTCTGTCTCTCTCTGAATTCCTCCTGCTAGAGTTAAAGGTCTGGGTGTGTCTTTCATTTTGGGATGACTGGATCTAGCTAATCTGTGCTTAGGGGCTGAACATAGGCTCTATAAATGCTTTGACCTACTGGTTATCAGACTAAAGAATAAGTACAAATTAAACTCCTTGACTTTGAGGCCAGATTCTGCTCCCAGTTTACTCTCAGAAGTCTGTGAGGTAGGTAGGATTGAGAGAAGAGGGTCCCACTGTTTGCCTACTGTGTGCCTGGAGCTGTGGGTGTAGCACTTTATGCTATGTGTTTGCTTTGCATACCGTCCCTCTTAGGAGGGATCATGATTGTACTTTACAGATAAGAAAAAAGAGCAAGAGGACAATTAAGGAAGTTGTCTTGGAAATTTCCCATTGGGTCAGGCACATGTAGGGTCTGCCTGAAACCAAAGCCACAGTTTTTTCCACTAGCTCAGACTAACCTTGGCTATGACAAATGACAATGAGCAAACTGATCAGCCTTCTACTACCTTTTGTTTATTTCATGTGAGCACACAATTACTATTGAAGACTCCTGGAGACAGCTGTGGCTTACTCAACCTGGAAAGTGGCGAGATCACATGAGTTATCGTATTTTTATACTTTGCTCTGGGAATCAGAACACAACCTTAATTTCATTACTTTTTAGATGAGTGATTTCCAACAAAGGGCAATTTTTCTTCCCAGGGGACAATTGGTAATGCCTGGAGACTTTGTTTTACTTATTAAAACTCTTCAGGAAAGGTGTATATTATTGGCTTCTAATGAGTAGAGGCCAAAGATGATACTAAATGCTTCATTAGGCACAGGGCAAACTTTTCTCTCAGCTTCCTCTAAGCAAAGGATTTATGGGTCAAAATACCCATAACGCCATTGAAGTTAAGGGATTCTGAGCTTGAGAAACAATGACTGACTGGCCAGCAGCTTTGTATCCCTAACACTGGGTGCAGAAGGCCTCCTGGAAAAGCACGGTCAGCTCCCTTTACACAAAACTACCACTTGGCATGCCATTGTCTAAGTTCTACAGATTATGTGAAAACTGAAAACATAAATATAATAAACAACATATACTCCAAAGTAAAACTATCTAAGTGTTATGGTTTGGGTCTACATGTCTCCCCAAAGCCTCATGTTGTCATAAGTGAGACTTTTTCAGAGATGGCTGGATCCAGAGTGTGGAATGCTGGAATTAAGGTTATATGATTACTAAATCAATCCACTGATAGGTTTGGCACTGTCATAATCCTGGCAGTTTAGATGCAATATAAGGGAGCAGAAAGATGCCATTAAGGTGCCTTGTTGCTTTGCTACATTCTACCTGCTGTGAACTATTCTCCTCGGCTGTGCCACCCTCCTTTGCAGACCTCTGATTATAAAATGAAACTCCTACCTACCTTGAGCTAAATAAACCTTTCCTCCCTTGACTTTGGACATCAGGTGTTTTGTCTCAGCAATGAAAAAAGTAACTAACATCCTGAGCATTAAGACTATGAATGGTTATGGGGAAAATGAACACTGACATACTTACAGCCAAGTGAGCTGATGTAGGTCTTTGAATACTCCAGGTCTGAGAGTTGTAATGCTGTTGTGGTTGAGATATCTACAAATAGCACGGGAGAGTTAAATAGGCAAAGTCAATAGTCCATTTTAGTCACATGTACTCAGACTCCAGCCCACTGATGATGATATAAACTACGAACCTCTGTGTCTGAGAGCATCCTGCTGGCTGTGCAGAGGGGGACACATCAAGGGATGATTAGAAAGGTTCAGAGTGTGCAAAAGCACAGCCAGGGCAAGGGAAATGGCCCAAACCACTGCTTTAGGGTATTGCATCAAGGACACGGTAACCAATTGTGTAAGTATTTTGCTTTTGTCCTTTTTGGATCACATCCTCAGGAGTCTAATGTATATGTATATTTTAATGTAGTTAGTACAGGGTCTACAGGGTCTACAGGGTCTCACTACACAGATCAGACTTGTCGTGATCCTTCCTGCTTTTCAGCCTCCCATGCACTGAGATTATAGGCATGTACCACCATGCCCAGTCTCAATTGCTGTCTCAGCAGGGGGGTTGGCATGGCATGCTGGGGATAGAACCCTAGGCCTTGAGCTTGCCTAAGCAGGTGCTTTGGTCTGCTGAACTATCTGGCTGGCCCTAGGAGTCTAATATTTTTTTAAATATGGAGGAAGTTAGAAAAGATTTAAAAATTTTTTTTTTTTTCCTGTATTTTAGGGAAGGGTTTACAGGGTGTGTAAGGTCTCACTACTACATCCAACTCATAGTAATTCTCCTGTTTACAGCCTCCCAAGTGTTGGGATTACAGGCATGTACCACCATGCCCAGTCTCAATGGCCATCTCAGCGCGCCCTGGGGGTGGAGCCGGCGTGGAAGACCTGGGGATTGAACCCTCGGCTCCTGCACCTGCTTGCAGGCACTTTAATCCACTGAGCTATTTGGCCAGCCCTCTGAAAAAAATTCTAAAATATTGTGGAAGTGGACCACGACAGGGAAGATGAATTGAAGATGATGTGATGTATATTCTGGTAGAAGTTGGAATCTTTGAATAATTCTTTTGGCATACTATTAATATAAATACTTTGCCATGTCAAGCCTTAAAAAGAAACCTTTAGACTTTTCTTAAATTTATACCCATAATATAACCACAGAGAAGTTACTCACAATATTTGCAGATTGTATAATCCAAGAAATGCTTTCCTGGAAATGTGTCTAATGCAATTATACTGAAGAAATCTGAAAGGAATAAGAAGAGTCAAGTGACTGTTGTTTATCAACTTCGTTTGGTTATTGAATGTGGGCTCCATTTTCTCCACTTGAAGACAATTTATGAAATTGTACAAAGCCCCAGCCATGTGTTTGGGGGCAGATATGATGTCAGGGCCAGACATCTATGAAGCAAGCCAAAGGGTGCCACTCCAGTAGCACCTGTGCAGGAAGATTCAGGCTTGTCTCTGCCTTGTAGCACTGAGCTCTGTTGTGATGTGCTTGGGGTGGAATAGGGCTTACGTCTGCAAGCCGGAACTATGCAGCCCTGTTGTTCGGACTGGGAATCACAAGTTGTGGGAGACCTGCCTGCCTATGCCTGCTGACTTTTCTTATTCTTTCAGCACAGAGTTGGCTTTTATCTCTTTGTTTCTCTTCATTCTCTTCCTATGAACAGAGTGGGGCTTGGGTGGGGATGGCAGTTCATTCTTTTCTGTTTCAAGATGTCAAATAAGAAGCACAGAGTGAGTTAGTGACCTACTCAGAATCCTGTCAACAGCTGAGCTGGGTGCAGTATGTCACTTCAGCCTGCAAAATCCTGATTCACTTCACCCCAAAGCAACTTAACAGTACAGGTTGGGTTCAATAATAGCAATGCCTGGAGTATCTAAGTAAATAATTTCTATTTCCTGCCCTCATTATACAATTGGAGGTTATTTCTGAATTCATATCTTCTAAAAGCTTTCAGAGGCAGGAAATTGTGACACAAAATACAGTAAGTAATTGCTACATCGTCTTTTCAATGGCTTCTGTTTGTCTTATTTTGATTTAAATTGATTCATAAAATATTGCAGAACACCCTTTTAATTGTTATGGTCCTTTGCAGCAAAACTATTGGTAGACTACATGCTTACTTGGCACTTAGCTAGACTCTGAAAAATTTTATAACACAATTATTCCCTAACAGAGCTTTTTATCTTTTGCCTTTGGGTCATGAATATGTTATAAAAGTGCTAAGATACTGACTTCCTCAGGCCTCAGGATAGCCAAGTAAAGCTAAGATTGGCTTCTAGTGATCTGCAAAATCATTCTCTTTTAATTTTTTTTTTTTTTTTTGCGGAACCAGGGATTAAACTCAGGCCCTTGTGCTTGCCAGGGAAGCACTTAACCTACTGAGCCATCTCCCTGGCCCTTCTTTTAATTTTTTTAAAGAGGGAAAAAAAAGCATTAGAAGCAATACAGAATTTCATAGGAATTCAACAATGATTATTATATGGCATAATGTTGTCTTCAAATTAGTTATTTAGATTACCAGATATAAGCATGCAAAATTGGTCCCAAAAGTTATATGAAATTAAAAAAGAGAAGAGAAAAAAAATAGCATTAATTGTTCTTTTCAACAGGCTAGCAGAAATCTGAAGAACGATTATCCAAGCTACCCTGCATATATACACACCAATATATCTTTTTCTTCTTTCTTTTGTCCTTTTCCTCATTCTAGTTTTTCTTTCCCTTTGAACACATTCTTTCCATTTCACAACATTTATTGTACCTTTCAAATTTTATTTACTCTTTCAGGTTCTTACAGTAGTGAGACAATACAATATTTATGCTTGTGGGTCTGATTTATTTCAATTATGAGTATTGTCTTTAGTTGCATCCATTTACCCATAAAAGTCTTGAGTTTATCTTTTTTATAGATTAAAAATATCCCCTTGTGCAAGAATACCACATTTTCTTTATCCGTTCTTCAATTGATGGACATTTGGCTTGTTTCCAAGATTTAGCTATGACAAATTGTTCTGCTAGAAACATGGAGACACATATGTTACTGGGGTCTGATGTTTTCAGTTCTTCTGAAAAAATACCCAGAAGAGGAATAGCTGGCTTGAATGGGACCTCTAATCCTAGTTTCTTGAGGAATCTCCACACTGATTTCCATAGTGGTTGTACCAGTCATTCTACACTCCCATCAACAGGGGAGAAGTGTTCCTTTTCCCCACAGCTCCCCTAGTATTTGTTATTGGTTGACTTGATGATAGCCATTGTTTCTGGGGTGTGCAAAATCATTCTTTTAGCTCAGCTGCTACACAAAAATTGTCCTTATCCTTGTGCAGCACCACGTAGAAAGGGCTGATACAGAATACACACAAGTTTTATCCATTAGTGACATAAACCATCAATCTCAATCCTGCAAAATAAACTTGAGACTCAGTATGGCCTCACTACTCACCTCCCTCTTTGGGGAGTAGCTGCACAGCACAGCATAAGTTCTGCTTTTTGTTTAAGGTTATTCTGTGAATAGGATGGACTCACACAGATCCATATATTATTTTGCATTTTCAGAGCCCTTCGATGGATGTAATAAAAGTTAATATGGTGAATTAGGTTACAGTAGCAAGTAAAAACTGAAAAATAATACAATGCTTCAGTGAAGATACATTGAAGTTTCTCTTGAATATAAAATTTACTACTGAACTGGTGCTATTTACATTTTATTCAAGATGATCAATTCAAAAGTGCAAAGCATATTTTACCTACATCTTGAAAAACTGGGGTTAGCTGTGAATTTGACTTTGTACTTTTGTCTTAGAAGCCAAAGGAAAGAAAGAGTAAAGCCAACAACCTGAATGATTCATCTGATGTGTATAAATCATCTCCATTCACCTCCATCACTCAGGACTCAAGCTCCTTATAATAAAGAGTATCCTGTCTTCTGTTCAGCTATGAAAGCCTCAAGCCTCAGGTCTCAGATGGGGGCTACTGAACTTAATCTCTGAGATGAGTATCTATTTTCTTCTTTGTGAAATAGTAGCTTAGAGAGGTGAAGGAAATTTGGAAACAGTACAAATTGGCACATGATGCTCTCCTTTTATTCAGCATTGAGCTATAAGCCCATTTAATGTATCTTCAATTGACTACCTTTTCTAAGAATAACTTACTGGCCCATGAATTCCTGCCATTTCTTTTCAAGCAGACTGTCATGACTTTTCAAGCAGAAACACCAGGAATTTATGTACCTGAGAGTAAGGTAAATAAATACTCTAATAACATACTTGCTTATAGAATATTTTAAAATGTGATGTTTTGTGCTCCAGAGCCAGCCAGATACCTCGTTACATTTTGTTGCCAATGATTGTATCTAACAATGACCAGTTTAAGAAGGAATTGTTAATTTATATGAGGGCTTATGTTACAAGGAGTCTGAGAACTGCAGTTGGTTTCCATGGTAGCAGCGATAAGGTATTATAGTCAATAACATAAATTGTATTTTATTTCTCTGAAAGGTCATCTGAAACTGCTTTTCCCTTTTCAACTTTAGAAAGTTCTGACATAGTAAAAGAAATTATTCAAACAAGAAAACAGATAATTGTGAAAGCTTTCAGATGAGTTAAGCAACTTTGTTCATTTTGTAATTAAAATTCAGTTTTGATCTAGGAACTTATTTTTCCCAATGCCTAAATGACTTCAAATCCACTGTGAAGATTTAAAGCATTTGAGCCTGGAGATTCACTTGACATTAAGTTCTTCAATCCCTAAGGATAAATACCAATACAATTTAAAAGTTCACATTAACTTTATTAGCACCGTGCAATGGAAAACAATTTTTTTGCATGTCTTTTTCTGATCAAATTGAACAATATCCAGATTCCATTGCTGGCATTCAAAGTCTTTGCAAGTCTGATCCAACAACCTCTTCAACCTATGCTCTGTCATCTCCAGTGGGAAATCTTTTGTTTTGGGTAAAAATGCCCTGCATTTGAATTCTTCCCAATGTTCTTTGGGAGTTTCTGTTTGTTTCTTTGCTTTCCCCATTAAAGCAGAGTCCTGCACATTGACTCTACTCAGCATTCCTTTGACCAGGGCTCACTGATCCCCACTAGTCCATAGTACATATGCTGCAGCGTGTGCTCCAGAGGAGGAAAAGTACAGGCACACGATGCTATAGCAGAACCAGAAAGAGGTCCAATCCAGAAACGGGTATGGTGGGCCTGGTCAAAGCCCAAGTCCTTCAGCATTCAAGGATGAAAGTAAAGTGCTATGACATGGATCTAAAATGTCCCCTTAAATCTCATGTATTGAAGGACTGATCTCCACTGGAAAGATGTTCAAAAGTTTGTGATTTGGATATGGGATCGTGAGGGCTCTAATCTCATCAGAGGATTTATCTATTGATGTATTCATAATTGAATGAGTTATGGGGAGGTGATGGAAGCATTGGAGATAGGGTCTAGTTGGAGGAAGGACATCCTTAAGGGAAGACCCTTGAAGACTATGTCTTGCCTCTGGTCTCATTCTAGGTCTCTGACTCTGTTTCCGTCTCTCCCCGTCTCTTCTCCTGTACTACCTGTATTTCATCAGGTGAGCAGCTTTACTTTACCATGTTCTCCCCACCATGATGTTCTTGCCATAGACCCAGAAATAATGAAGCAGTGAGCCAAAATATATCTTTCCTTCTTAAGTTTTCTCTCAGATATTTTGTCACAGGGATGCAAAGTCATGAACACAGGAGAGCTTCACAAATATGATACACATCATGTTCAAAAGTGAGAAAGTAAAGAATGCTATGGGCAGCGGGCTGTGGTGGCACACTGCTGGAGTCTCATCACACTAGGAGACTGAGGCAGGGGGATCAAAAGCTAGAGCTCAACTTGGGTACTTTAGTGACTTAAGGTGAGTCTGTCTCAAAACATAAAAAAATGGATTGAGAATGTAGGTAGGCATGAAGGCCCTGGGTTAAATCCCTAGTACTGAAATAGTGGGCAATAAAAATGTACTTCTAGTTATACTACAGATGCAAGAATGTGTCAAAGAGAAGTCTAGGTTTACCTCCTGGAATTTGTTTTATTTCAAGATGTTATGGGCCACAGTTTTGGTGATATATATCACATGTGTTATTGAGTATTTCTTTGAAGACAAAAAATGTTATTATAGAGTTGGCTTTCTAAGCTAAAATCTCAAATCTTAGGTTTAATTGAAGTGTTGGCACTTTGCAATAAAGAAGGTCTCTAAAAGTTTCACCATCATGA